CCAAGCTCAGGCGGCTTCTGCCATGAGTGAAATGGTGCCGCCGTGAGGCGACGACCCTGGGATGCGCCGGCGCCGCGGTGAGACAGACGGTGCCGCCGTGCGGTGATTCTGTGGAGAGACCAGACTGCGGTGAGACGATGCTGTGACGAGACGGAGCCACCGTGAGGCGGCGCCAGGACGCGCCGGTGCTACGAGGGGGCGACCCCGCCGCGGCAAGACGATGCGGAGGGAACGGCTGGATGCTGCGACCGGACACCGACCCCGCGGATGATCCCGGCGGGAGGCGGGACGCGCGGGAGTACGGCTCTGGCGGCCCCGTCGCCGCCCTCTGCCTGCGATTGGCTGTTTGCCCCGCCAGTCCCCGGATTGAGCGCTGATTGGGCGGATGACAGTGCGGCGGTTTTTTTCAAAAGGCCGCATCCCGACTCTCCTCAGAGCGATCCGGGGCGTGTGATGGCGGCGGGAGCGGCCGGAGCCTTCCTGGGGCGGAGCTCGGGACCGGGGTCGGTTCTGCCCAGGGTCGGTCCCTCGCTGCAGGGGCGGACGGGGTCCGGGGGGGCTGTTCTCGCCTCGTCCGTCCGTCGGCTTCCCAGGAGGGGAGGCGGTGAGGGGCCCCAGCCGCAGCCCGGAGGAACCAACGGCTGGCTCGTCCTTAACCGTGCCCACTCAGGGCGGCCTGGGCTGTCGGTCTGGGTGAAGAAAGGCTGCCAGAAGCCAATAAATTCAAGGCTGGCTTGCAAAAACGAAGCAAATCCTGTTTTTTTGAAGGCAGAAATCTTGTTTCCCTTCCTGCCATGCATGTAAACCAGATGAAGGGGTGTCCTGGGTTCAGCTGGGATAGAGCTGATTTTCTGGCTGCTCAGGAACTAACTGGGCATGGGTCGGCGGGTGGTGAGCAATTGCATTGTGCATCGCTTGTATACTCCAATCCTTTTATTAGTATTGTTCTCATTTTAGTATTGTTAGTCGTATCATTCTTATTTTCTTTACTTCTGTCCTGTTTAACTGTATTGTATTTCAATGCTGATATTAAACAGGAACACCAGCAGTGCATCTGCTGTCAGGGTTGTATGTATAGTTTTACTATATATGAAAATTCTTTATTACAGGGGCTGCAGCTCTTGGTGACTTCAAGGGCTTGTTGGCAACAGCATCTGTAGGTTTATCTATTTTGCATTAGCAGGTTCTAGGTCAGAGGGGGTTTTGAGGTTTTTCTTGTAAATGTGAATGTTCTACAAAGAGCTCCTGCAGGACTGCTTTTGTTTCTCCGAGTCAGATGTGAATCTGTTCATGTGTTGCCATGGGCTTTGCGAAAAGGCGGCATCCATGGAAAGGTCAAAACCCAAAAGAAATTGGAAAACCAGTTTGTAAGAACAACGTAGGAAAATACGCTGTCGTGGGAGGTTTTGAGAAGCAATAACTCGGAGCAAACGCAGGCTGGGACGTGGAAAAGGGAGAAAAGGTGCTTGAGGAAAAAGTGCTGTGATGAGCAGCACTGAGGTTTTGGGGAGATTGTCAGCTTTTTGGCTTTTTATTTTAGTGACTGGAGGAGCATCCTGGCAAAGCACCGGCACAGAGAAGGACCTGGTGGGTCCCTGGTGCCGTGCTGCAGTCTCAAGGTGTTCTTGACCCTGCTCGCCTTGTTGCTGGTGGAGTTGAGGGACGTGCTTGTCCCCGGAGGGTGCTGCCGCCCCTTGGTGGCACCAGGGATGGCGGAAGCTCTTCAGGATGCAGGTACATGAGCACCATCCCCTTTCTTAGAGGCTTTAAGAGCAAATGGTGGGGAGATGGAGGGGGTGGTTCTGGCTTTGGGCTGGGGGACATGGCTCAGATGGGTTTGAAGGGCCACCCAGCACCATGGGGGCTGACCTGAGGGTCCTGGAGTGGAGACTGGAGCTGAAAACACCTTGGAGTTGAAGAAGTGGGGCAGTAATTGAGATGACACCTCTCCAGGGCAATCAGAGCTGGCAGAAGCCAATAAAACGAAGGCTGGCTTGCAAAAACGAAGCAAATCCTGTTTTTTTGAAGGCAAAAATCTTGTTTCCCTTCCTGCCATGCATGTAAACCAGAAGAAGGGGTGTCCTAGCTTCGACTGGGATAGAGTTAATTTTCATCCTAATAGCTGGTATGTTTTGGGTTCAGGATAAGAAGAATGTTGATAACACACTAATGTTTTCTGTTGTTGCTGAGTAATGTTTAGACCAAGACAGGGATTTTTCAGCTTCTCCTGCCCAGCCAGCAGGAAGGCTGGAGAGGCACAAGAAGTTGGGAGGGGACACAGCCAGGAGAGCTGAGCCAAACTGGCCACAGGGGTATTCCACAGAATGTGATGTCATGCCCAGTATAGAAACTGGGGGGAGTTGGGCTGTGGGGATTGCTGGTTGGGAACTAACTGGGCATCGGTTGGCGGGTGGTGAGCAATTGCACTGTGTATCACTTGTATATTACTATTCTTTATTATTGTCATTTCCTTATTGTTATTATTGTCATTATTATTTTCTTCCTTTCTGGCCTATTTGACTGTTTTCATCTCAACCCATGAGTGTTAGTTTTTATTTCCCTGATTCTCTCCCCCATCCTGCTGAGTGGGGGGGAATTGAGCGAGCAGTTGTGTGGTGCTTGTTTACCAGCTGGGGTTAAACCACAACAAGGGGGAATGCTGCTTTGACTGTCCTGGGACAAAAGTATCCAGGGTCAGGCCTGTCCTACTGAAGAACTTCGCAGCATTAGTGGTAACTCACTTCATTTGCACAGGCTTCTTGCTTTTGCACAGGTGAAGAGTCGGCTGCTGTAATGATGCCATCGCAGCAGAGAGCAGAGGAAGGGACCAGTAAGCACCAGTCTTGTTTTGAGGATGTTGTTTCAGAGGTCGTGGCCATGCTTAGCATGATGTGGGCAGCTAAAATGTAGTTAAAATAACTGGGGTGAGGATGATGCAAGAAAGGTAAAACTGTTTGCAAGCTGCAGGAGGCACAGGGCAGCCCAAGCTGTGGGTCCTGGGGATGGTGCCCATCTCTCCTGGTTGACGGGGTATGGAGAGGATGCAATGAGGTCAGGGAGCCCTAAAAATCCTTGGAGGCTGATGAAAGCACTGGGATGCACCCCCTGACCTGAGCCTGCACCCCACTGTGGTCCCCCACGTGCTTTGTGGCTGTATGTAAAGGTGTTGAAGGCACCCGTGGGGGGAATACAAGAGCTGCAGGGAGCTTGGGGTGCTCTTTGTGCCGTGGGTTTGCCGGCTGTGCCTCTTCCATGCAGTTTGTCCCCAGGTTTTAGCCTCAAGTGCATTAAAGACAAAAAGGTCCTCATCGGGGTCACCGTGGTCATAGCAGCGTTGCTTCTCACTGTCATTGTGCTGGCAGGTAAGTGTCTGGAGGTGGAGGTGCCCACCACCAAAGTCCTCTCCTCCCCTGGAGAAAACCCAGTGGCGTAAGTCACCAGGACGTGTTCTGCTTATTTCCAGCTAAGAAATGCCCGTCCTGTCCATCCCGTTCCTCTCCTGTCCTTCCCAGCTGCCTGGGAAATGGGATCGGGTACAGGAAGAAGTGCTTTTACTTTGTGGAGGATGAAGGAGACTGGAACAGGAGTCAGATCTCTTGCCTTTCTCTTGGAGCCCATTTGTCCACCATTGACATGCAGGAGGAGCTGGTAAATGAGAAATCCCTGAGGAACTGGTGTGTCAGTGGCTTTTGGGAAGCAGATTTGGGATTCCCCTGTAGGGCATAGCGTCAATGCTTGCTTTTCCCCCCCTCTAGCATTTCCTCTTGCGCTATGGGAGTTCCTTCCACTACTGGATTGGTCTCCACAGGGAAGGCTCTGGACCTTGGAAATGGTCCAACGGGTCTCTCTTCAGCAACAGGTACGTCCCCTCTTCTTCTGGAGAACATAACCATGTCCTGGGCTGAGATGGGTCAGGGATTGAATGCAAGAAGACACATATATATAGAGAGAGAGAGAAACAGATAAAAAATTTAACAAGGGCATCCCTAGATCAACCCCCCTTGGGACCAAGCAACTGAAAATATTCCCTCCTTTGGGGGCAGGGGGACAGTTTTTGTCCTGCATGGGGCAGGTTGTTTGCTGGGGAAGGGTGCTCCGTGCTCCTTGCAGCGCTGTTAGCCTGTATGGGAGATGCTCAGCCGCTGACCTGCAGCTGACAGCAACCCCTTTGCTTCCCTTTGAGTTTTCCTTCTGCTGTTTGGTGCAGGTTTGAGGTCCGGGGCAAGGGCCAATGTGCCTATATCAATGCTGACGGGATCAGCAGCGACTGGTGCTCCCAGATGAAATACTCTGTCTGCAGCCACCCGCAAAAGCACCCCAGTGGGATTCAGAAAGATTTGGAAATCATTCTGAATTTCACCTGAAATTTTCCCTGTCAGCAGAGAAGATCAACCACAAGCTGCTATTAACCCTACACAACATGGTAGTGAGTGTCACAACGTTACATATTTATTTTAATTTTAGCTTACAAAAGCAGAAACTCCTCATGACAATGACACAGAGCCGTGACCAAAGGATCCTTACTTTAGTCTGACCACTAGAGTCTTTCCAGTTTTGCAGACTTGGGAATATCCAAGAGGCTTGGAAAACTCTCTGCTTTGCTGGCAGCTGCCATGCTGCAAAGCTCAGTCCTGCTGGTTTTGGTGTCTTTGTTCTTTGGTGGATTTGGAGGAGCTGGAGGTGAGGGGCAGAAATGCAAAGTGGAGAAATGAAACAGAATTGCTTCTGAGTTCTCCCCGGCCAACGCTTGGGAGAAGACCCCAGCCTCGACAAGGAGCCACTGAACCTCTGCTCTGGGATGTGTTTTGGCATCCTGGCAAGATGCCCGGTACTGAGTCTGTCCCCACTGTTAATTGTGTTGCTGTGAGAGACTGAAAGAGTTGATGTCTCAAACTTTCTGGTGGGGCAAGTTCTGCTTAACCACTGACTCTGCGAAGCCGTTCAGCTCCGGACATCAGCAACAGGAAGGGGAGGGTGTGCCGGAGGGTGCACAGCTCCCTGTTCCAATAATGCTGTTTTGGGTATGCTGAGCAGAACAGCTCACGGTGCATGGCAAAAGATCACGTCTGCAGGGAGGGGGAAGCTACTCCCCAGATGACCCCCAAGCCCAAAGGCTCACAAATTGATCAGGACACCTAATTAGCCTGATGAGTTTGAGTGCCTGCCCAAAGGAGAGGCAAAGATGATAAAAGGGCATGGACTGAAGCCCCACAGGTGCAAGCCTGCCAGAACTGGACCTCTCGCCCGACTGAACCAACACGGGATCCAGGACTGGTGGTATCTTTCTCTCTTCCTTTTTCTCCTCCTGTCTCATTCTCTCTTTCTTTTTCCTTTTCTCTCCTTATTCCCTGAATTGCTGTATATGGTTACCACGGGTTACATGGTTTACTGAGGTAGTTCCATGCCTATTCCTGTTGGGAGAAAGCACACTGCCTGCTGTTAGGCCTCCCAAATTCAGTTTGCCTCTGTCATAAATAAAACATTGAACTGATGGTTTGGTGTCGTCTCACCCTAATTTAGCCCGAGGGAATTCCAAATTCAACGTGACTCCCTGGTCTGTCTGGTCCGGGTCGTGACAGTCGTTTGCTCTGGCTTAAATCTTGGTGGCCTCTTTCTGCCAAATGCAGCGGAACAAAGCACTGTGGCTGTGGGAGTGCAGCTGACCCCTCAGAATCACGGCACAAGCATCTGCCTCCATGGGACCCTGCACCAGGAACCTCAAAAGCACCACGATGGCAATCAGCCTGGCGTCCTGCACTTGGACGCTGTTTCCAGTGACAGTACGCATCTCACTGGGGTTTTTTCCCCCCAAAAACCTGAACCAGGTCAGCACGTGCGGGAGGGGACGGCTGCCCCCCTGGGGTCTCCTCCCTCGGTGTGGGGGCTGCCGGAGGCTGGAGGGGGATGGCTGGAGCTCTCTGCTGGTGCCCGTCACACGGTGCTGGCTCTGCCCGATGCCTGGGCGAGTTCTGGGCCTCCCCCTAAATCCTGACCCCTAGAGAAGGTGCTGCCGCAGGAGCCCCAGGAGAGCAGCCGTGGGCGCGGGGGAGGAATCCGACCAGGACGGCGGGAGAACAAACCTGGCCGCATCCCCTGTTGAGGAGATTGAAGTAGACGGACACCCGTAATCTTGAAAGCAGACAACAGACAACCCTTTATTGCTAAAACACACACATACTTATAGTCACATATTCTGCAAAGTCACTGTCCACGCGCACAAGCATAGAATATGATTGGTTATATCGACACTGTCCATGCGCATAAACATAAGATATAATTGGTTATACTAACTCTGTACACGCGCATAAACATAGGACAGAATTAGTTATACTAACTAAAACATGCGAAACTTGTCTCAGTCTAATTGGTCAAGATAAACTGCCGAATTGAGGTTCTTTGTGCCAAGTTCCCTTTATCGTGGAATGCACACCTGTGTTCTTCTAATTGGCATCTTTCTTTTTTCGTCTTCTTGTTTATTCTGTTCAAGGCCTTCTAAAAGCATCTGGAATGCTCTTGTGACCATTAGCTAAATATGTGTCCACACCCTGTGAGGGCCGTGCCAGTGTGGTGGCTGTGCGGGAGGGCTGTTCCCAGTGCTCCCAGTCCGTCCATCCTCCAGCGTCCCAGTTAGAGGTTCAGGTGGCAATGGCGGTGGGAGAGGAGTGCTGCTGAGGCAGTCCCACCTCATTTTTATTTGGCTTGCTCTTCCTGAGCTGGGGAAAGCCTCTTCTTGAGGCTTCTGCCCCAGGGAGGGGCTCTTCTCTCATCCCCTGATGTCCCCTCCTCCGGTCAGCAAAATGCATTTGGGGCTCTTTGCCCTAATTGAGCAAATAAAGTAAATGCAATTAAATACTGGGAGAGCTGGTAGGAAGGAAAGGGGCAGCCTTGCGACATGTTGAGCGTAGGCGATTGCCAGTGTCTGGCAAAGGATGGCAGATGGGTAAGCCCAGGAGCAGATAAAATCATGCTCAGTTAGGCTAATGAAATAGCTGCTAATTAGGAGGCAGGAGACTGGGGACCCAGGGATTCCTGATGTGCCTGTGCCTCTACCCACACAGGCCTTGTCCAGTCGCAGGCACCGGCTCATCAGTGTGAAAGCTGGTTAATGAGCGCCACAAAAAAGGACTTATTTATGTATTTTCTTCTCCACCGATTTTCCCTGCAGAGGAGAAAAGAGCTGTTTTCCTACTTTCTCTTGCAGTAGCTTGTGCTGCAGCTCCCTGTCCTCTAAACCCACGGGGCGCAGCCCCGTACCCCAGTTTTCCTTCCTGTGGAGAGGAAGCCCCCGTCCCCCACGGACCCCTGGCTCTTCCACCCCATGGAGGACGAGGACGGCTACATGGTCTTAGGCCGACGGGGCAAGCAGGGTGCTGCGGGGAGCCTGGCTCCTCTCCCGGGTGCAGGTATTGGGGGTTGTGTCCGCTGGGGGTGTGTGTGCGTGTCCCCCGAATTTGTGGAGGGGAGAGGAAATACGGGGCGATGCTGACCGGTGCAACTTGAGAAGGGGGAGAAGCGGGGTGGCGCTGCCCCTCAGGTCCCCAGGAGCTGCTCAAGCTGGGAAACTGAGGCACGGGTTGAGGGAGGAGGGTCGGGGGGGCTTTTTTTTTGGGCGGGGGCAGGGTGGGTAGGAGTGACCGGGTGCCCCCTCCATCCCTGAGACAGGATGCCCCCCTCCCGGCTCAGCGTCCCTCTCTCCCAGTCTCTTGGCTGGTGGCGGAGACGGGACGGTGCAAGGGGACCATGGGGTGCGGGAATCGTCGCGGGGATGCCAGCGTGCCGGCTTGGGCTGCATCTCCCTGGAGCTGAGGAAGAGCCTGTGTCCCCTGCGAGGTGACCTGCCCCCCACGGGGTCCCCTCGGTAGACACCCCCCTCCCCAACAGGCACCCCTCCGGCCAAAGGGTGCCGTCCCCAGCCCGGCTGAGGCAGGGCTCCCCCGGGGTGCCTTAGCATGCCGGTGTCTGTCCGTCTGTCCGTCCGCAGAGGGTGAGGGGTGCAAGCTCTGCTCCACGGGCTGGACGCTGCATGGGAGCAAGTGCTGTTGGATGGCCGAGAGGATCAACCCTTGGAGCGCGAGCTGGGAGGACTGTGTGAAGCGGGGTGCCGAGCTGCTGATGCCAGAGGACCAGGATGAGCTGGTAAAGGGACCGATGGCATCGGGGATGCGGGAGGGGTCCCGGGACTGCGCCCCAGGGGCTGGTGGCACCTGGGGAAGGGCCAAGGGTTTCCCCGGGGGCCTGGGGCCAGCATCCACCCCTGTGCCTGAGCCTCTGGGGTGCCTTTGCCAGCGTCGGAGGGTGGGAGACAACGGTGGGGCTCGGTCCTCGGCCAGGGGCTGCGCGGGGACAGGCTGGAGCCTGGGACAGGGTGGCACGCTGATACCAAAAAGCCGGTGGAAGAAACTCTCTAAGACTCGTTTTGGAGTTTTAGAAAGCAGGTATTCTTTATTGCAGCACTGGATGCACGGGGGATAGTTCCACCTGGTGTGCATGCCACAGCTGTAGCACTAACAGGTTATATAGAATAACTAATTGCATATTAATCAGATTAGTATACATATACATAAAAATGATTGCAACTGATTATCTTAGTACTGCCTACATCCAATCATGCGCAATGAAGGATCCATTTGAGTCGAAGGGCTGCTTTTGCGACCACCAACCCATTTGAAGTTCTTGTTGGCTGTCCTTGAAGTCTTTATTCTTGTCCTTGTTCTTTGATCTTGAAGCTTAAGGCAGTTTCAATCACATGTGGTCAGATTCAACATTGTTTTCATCTAGCTTACAGGAACATCTAGTCATAAGAGCAAAGAACTGCAAAACTTATGAGTACCTACCTCTACTAGTTAATTGCTTGGCTATACTTTTGTCTATTGTTTCAATCACAGTGTTAGTATAAGATTTCTAATAATTATTTGCCAAATCTCACTTTTACGGTCACCTAGCAGCAAACCAGTTTCCATAGAAGGTACAAAATATTAAAACCAGCAAAATATTTAGTCATACCATACATAATGTATGGAAATATGCTATCAATGCTGGCCTCGCCCCCCGCCCTCTCCCCCATCTAGGGTTTCGTAAAGGAAATTGTGCAGAAACCCACCAGCTACTTCTGGATCGGCCTCTCCATACCCCCTGGCAGGAAGAGCTGGACCTGGCTGAACGGCTCCTGCCTGGACCAGAGCTGGTGAGCGCTGTGGGGAGGGGTGGGTGTCAGGGTCGGCACCTCCACCATCACCCGAGGGACCCTCGTGCCCTGACACGGGCTCCCTCCTGCCCCCACAGGTTCCAGCTGAGCCCCCGGGATGAAGGCAGAAGCTGCGGGGTGGTCAGGGAGGACAGGATCAGCTCCAACAGCTGCAGTGCAGGGTTGCAGTGGATCTGCCGGAAAGAAGCCACCCAGCTCTGAGCCGGGGACACCGAGCTGGGCTGTGGCCAGGAGGGACGGGCCAGGATCAGGCCCTCCGTGGGGGAATATGGGAGGCAGCGCTGGCGTTGTTGTGTGCAGATCAATAATGACATTAGCTGGGCTCCCTGTGGTGTTTTCAAGCAGCTTTGCTGACGGGCAGGGCTGGAAGGAGCATCCTTCTGTATCGGACCAATCTGCGTGTGTGTGCATGCCCTCGTGCATGAGCGTGCACATCCTTGTGTTAAAAGAATGAAAATCAGGAAAAGTGTTAGAGTTACTAATGAACATTCTTTAGGATAACTTCTATCAAAACTTGTAAAGTGTCCCACTGCACAGAATCACGACATTAGGGTGAACTAGCGGACAAGTGAGGAAGACTATCGAAGACCACCAGAGGGCCCCTGAAGACCACCAAAGATCTCGAGTGCACCAGAGCCAAGGACATTTACATATATCAATGATTCCCGGTATTTAGACGACTATGTTAATTATTTCCAGGAAAAATCATGAATATGTATATCCATTTTGTATCTAATCTCAACTGTTGAAAGAATTGGAGTACACAATAGGTGGAGCGATCCCCCGTACACCCATCTCTGCAATAAAGAACGCCTGCTTTCTAAAACTCCAGCATTGAGTCTCAGAGAGTTTCTGAAGTGCCGACTTACGGTAACAATCCAAACCCCTGGGGAGCTGCTTGTGAGCTTTCTGCCCGTGCCAGCGTCCCCTTCGATCTTCCTCCCGGACCATCCCTGTCCTCAGGTCGTGCTTTCACCCCAGGCACACCAAAACTCACCCAAGAAGTGGCTCGTGCTGGGAAGGGACTGAGGGGCAGCGGAGGAGACGGGTGCGGACACTCGTGGACGGTGCTCGAAGGAGCATTGCCAAGGCAGAGGGGAAGCGCGGTGGTGGGAGTCTCGGGATAAAAAGGA